GGGTGTGCATCTGGCTCTCAAAGTCGACGCCCATAGGATCACAGTGCAATGCTCACCATGAATGTGTGTAGTATGAAAACCCTCGTGGCGCTCAAATCACATTTATTTCAGTGTCTCCCTCCGGTTGTACGTTAATACGGCCTGTACGAAGAGCTTTCTATATGTTCCAGTCTCTTACCATGGTTTTTCACCTTACTTAAAGAGGCGGGACTATTAGGTCTCGGCTCGATAGGTGCAAAATTTAGCGATTCCTTCCCCTGACCCCAGTAAGGACGCAATTAAGATGGCCCCGCCGACAACTTAATGGTCTAGCTCATGAGGGAACAGGGTGATCATTTCATGCTACAGATAAATTGAAGCCTTCTTATTTCACTTTTGCTTCGCCAAAGATGCAGCTAGCCTTCTGCGGTACAGAACCGGCCATCTCCGTCACAATAAATTGATACCAGACAGCCAGACGGACAATACTTGCGTTCGTGGATGTCACGGCAGTGCATTAGGTTGACAGAAGGTCCGATGAGATACCGAACAGTATCCGCTATATAACCCGCATCTTGTCCATCTTCATTGATCGAGGACAAAATTCAGTCTCTTAATGAATTGAACCATACGTTTGGACTTCTGATTATACCTGACCTCACAACCCCTCTGACAGTGGAACCATCAGGCTTCAAATTGAAGCTAAGACTAGTCCCTTCACCACATCTTTCTCAGCTGAGGAAAGTAAATTATTTTGACTGACGGTGAAGTCTCTTTGCTGACAACGTGAATCGTGGTATTATATTAGCTGCTAAAGTTGTTTGCTTGCGTTTGAACCCGAGGTTACCAAGACTCTTACCCCTTGAATCTCTGCAGTGTGACTGTTTTACTTGAGTAATTAGTGTTGATGTGAGCAAGAACGTGTTTGTCACCTGATTGATCGAGTATTCCCGAGGTGTTCAACATCGACGGCTTTAATGTTTTGACTCTTATATAAGCACAGACTTCGTAATCGTTTGCAGTATTGCATTGCTATATCTATTACTACCGTTCTCTCGAGGTACTAGAACTTGAAATGAACCTATGACTTGAACAATTGCAGAAGCGGCGTCATTGCCAAATATATATATATAAAAAAAAATCGTTTGCGACTGTTCCTCCCGGACCCGTCCCAATCTTTGCAATAACGCTGCGGTCTCGACAACTCGGCTGTGGTTTTGGACAATTGACACAAGGGTTAGCAATAATGCGATGGTTTTTGTAGGAAAATTTGTTTGCTCCCCCTCGCATCATGACTCTTATTATTGCAGGAACGGTGTCAGATCTCTGCAACAACTCGGCGACGATGACAAGACAGCAGCGATATCTGATAATTGGCAAAATCCTTTGCAAATAGTTGTTTGCTACCTCTCTTAAACCCTAAGTATAAATAAAGCCCTCCCCTCCTGAGATTTTAAGACGTTCCCTTTCTCAACCTCATCATCAAATTCTACGACGCTCACGTCGCTACTCATCACCGATCGGGAGCATCACGGGAACCTCTCATCTCTACAGAGCTCTTCTCTACTCTGATCAGCTCTGTACCAGCACGATGGCGTCGTTCAGCACCGTCGTACGCGCCATCGGCCGTGAGAGCGTTACACAGCTCGCTGCTTCGCAAGCTAGGTGAGTCAAGTAGCCTAAGGTCCGCCCGTGGGAACCGTGGCTAACCTCTCATTCTCGTAGCTCAAGCAGCTTGACGACTACTGCGACAGCTACTCCGACGGCCACGAGCCTACCACCGCCAGGACCGACCCCGGAGGCCGAGAAAACCCAATACATCATTGTCGGAGTAATCTTTGGCGGGGCGGCCCTCTGCATTATCCTCTACGCCTTGTGGGGATATTGCTGCAGACGGTACCTGAGATACAAGCGAACTCAAGGCGGTCGCAGCCGTATCGGCTCGACGATGGACGGTGTTGATATTGAGCTTCCGACTCCATCGGCGTGCTATACAGGCAGCGGCGGTGGCGGCGATTCGGGTGGCTGTGGCGGATACTGATTCGAGGCCCAAGTAAGTCCATCCACTGACCTAATGTGGCACACTGTTGATAAACGACGGGTGCTGATTGCACGCAGACTCTCGCTCAAACGGAACAGAGATGGCCAAATCGGATAGGATCATGGCAACACAGCAGTGGCAAGCCGGAATGGTAAGAGGCCATTACTTCTATCATGGGTCGATAATGTGAAACTCTGACAGTACTTCAGGTCTACAAATCACAGTACCCTCGGCACTATGCTAACTAGGGGAGGAACTAACCGAAAGTAAGTGACAGATTCTAACTTGATGCCTAGATACTAACACGGGAGAGAAAAACACACACTTGGTAATGGGAAGGGCTATGAGAACGGGGGAGGGAACGGGGATTGGAACAGGGATGGAAACATGGACGAGAACAGGCAAGAGAATTCAGAGGAAGCTCAAGGGACCTTAAGAGGCTCAGCCGGTTCAGCTTACAAACAAATTGTGCTGCCCAAGGGAGATCAATATACTCGACTTCCTCGTCAACAACCTCTTCCACGAGTATAGCACTGTAATATGAAGTAGTTACTCGTCATCAGGGCTTAGAACACTAACGCGATGGTATTTAGACGAACTCACTGGCACATCGGGACGGAGTTTGCTCATACATCATCGCGGTCCAGTGAGAAAGGGTAGGACGGCCATGTATAGTACACAGCTATAGCGTACCTACAAGAAATATTTGGACATACCACGCCAAGGACTGTGACTTGAGCATATGATTACAGCAAGAGTAACAAGAGTCTCGAACCTGCCAAGCACTGCCTTATAACTTGTGTCCGCAGGGGGCGGTTTCTAGTCAAGCTGAAGACAAGTGCACCAGACCAAAAGGTACTCACTATATCCACTTTTATTCGGTCGGCGGGATTTTGGAACAGGGGGCAAGGCTCCGTACTGTAATTGATGGAAGCCCCTATTTGAGAAGATTACATGAACTTGCGGAGCATATACTGGAATATAGGGACGATGCAGGTATCATTCGACCTAACCATCCAGCCACAAGCTATCAATTTACGGCTTGTTTGAGAAAAGCAATGCATTGATCAGACCGTGGTCGTGGAAGGACTCTAGGCAATACCTAGCAAATAGGAACAAGCGCGGCTCGGTGGTTGCCCTCGGTCAGCGGGGAAGTCAGACAGCGCTTAGTCAGAGCAGGGCAACGCACATGTTGGGTGATACCATACCATGTCCACTAAATCAAGCAAAACCCCGAACCCCGAAGGACTCGAAGACGTCAGACACGACGTTTCGATCTGACGGTTGACTGTCAAATTTCATCAAACTGAAAGCAGTGGGGTTTGATGGGTGATGCTCGTCCTACGATTCGCGGACTTTAGGAGGCTATTGTAGTTTGTGTGCGACTAACTGCAGTTGGCTAGCGAAAGTGACCACTTTACAGTTCTGGACATTCTATCCCTGTCTACTATTAATGCAGGGCTGAGGCTCAACCGGTCGGTTGGAAGTAGTGTGCCAGAGCATCAGACGGCCCGTCATAGCAGGACAGACCAAGGCCGATCGGGACAGTTCATGGGAGACTGAGGTCATTGGAGGACCTGCTAAGTGTGAACTCAACTCAGGTTCGCCGTCGAACCCGCAATGTTAGGTAATCCGGACCGCCCAAGCCTCGCTGCGAATCGTCCACTCCGTAGCCGCTCTGCCGTGCCTTCAAAGTACTGTAAATAGGTTGGATGCAATCATACCCTGCAGTCCGCCCTCAAAAGTCCGAGAGATGTCTTCTGACCAGGTTCAGACCCCGCTGGTGTGGACCAAAAAGAAGCTTGTTGCTGTGCATACGAATGGACTGGGTATTTCCTCCGAAGGTACTCCAAGAATGATGCTTGTAGGGCAGGGCGAGTGAGTCCAACGTGAGATTGTACGGACCACGTCCGGGGAGCCAAGACCCATATTTCTCCTAAGCCAGCCCCAAGTCCCATCCAGATCCCTGGGATTCTGAGGGAAAACCCTGCGCGGCTCGACTTCGGGTCGGCGTCTCCCTAGCGCAGCCACACAGCTCGATCTTAGCCCGGGCCGGCTTGTGTCTGTCAAGCAAGAAGATTCCCGTTCCTCAACAGAGAACTCGACAATGGTATAGGGTCTGCTTATATTTGACGCAAGCCTATCTCGTTCTCAGGTGCGGTGCATCGCCGTATGGGCTTCGGGTTCCCAAGGTCCCGTAAATGCGCCGGGGTCTGGGGCCGATTTCCTCTTTGGGATGCTTGTTGTTGGCAGTGGGCATGAGTCGCAAGGCTCTTCTCGACGGGGCAGCCCTGAGTCGTATTACAAAACTCGTATTACCTGCAGACGGTGGATACATGCCATATTGGCTCGACTCCACGACATCCACCTTTAGCACCGATGTCCATTATTAGCCCAGATGCAAGGCGAGACTGCCAGTGAAAAGATGAAAAAGGAACGTCTCGCTCCTCTCTAATGACGGTCGCCTTGTACAAGTCAGTCATTCGTTTACCAGACTATTAATCTTTCTTCTCGAAGCCAGTCACTCGTTTACCTGGCTTAATTTTCCTACTTGGGGTCAGCTAATAAAGTCGCGGTGGTGTTTACTATACGTTAATATATCCGTCTCAGCGGTATAATATTCTCTAAGCAAAAACAAACAAGATGCCTTCGACGACCTCCATGATGCGTGCAGCTCTGTTCGCTGCCTCGTCCGCCAGCGCCGCCGCTGTGCTCGAGAGCCGCCAGATGACCACCACAACATGCGCCGACGTGCACATGTTCTTGGCAAGAGGCAACAGCGAGCCCTACCCCGGACGCCAGAAGGTTCTGGTCGCCGAGGTCTGTGACCGCGTAGCCAACTGCGACTACGAGGACATCGTCATGAACAACTACCTCGACTCTCCTTACTGTGCCGCCACCTACGAGGGTGCCACCAAGGGGTACGATGCAATCGTCGCCTACAACAAGCGCTGCCCCGACGCCAAGTTGGTCCTCACCGGATACAGCCAGGGCGGCCACGTTATCAGCGATATTCTTGGTGGAGGACACGGCACTTTCTTCAACGAGTGTTACGAGGACCAGACACCTCAGCTGGACAGATACAGCGCTGCTGGCCAGATGGGTAAGTTACTGTCCGGAGGAGCCGGGAGGACACGGCGCTTAGGGGTTCTGTGTTGCTAATGATGTGTTGAAATATTTAGTCAAGGCTGTGACCACCTTTGGCAACGTCCGTCACACCGCCAACCAGCCCTACAACTACGGAACTGGTTCTGCCAACGACAGCAGCAACCCCCGTGGCCCGGCTGAGCAGGCGCTCTTGAACACCTACGCCGACGTATGGAGAGACTACTGCGCCATTGGCGACCCCGTCTGTGCCCACGGTAACGTCAGGGAGGACCACACCAACTACTTCGACATCTACACCTACGGTGCCGCTGAGTACATCGTCAGCCTTCTCAAGGCTGCCGACGCGAGCAGCTCGTCTGCTACCATGAGCGCTACCTCGAGCTCTGCCGTCTCCAGTGCTACCCTCTCTGTCGAAGCCAGCACCACCTCCAGCTCCGTTGAGGCCAGCGCCACCGTCTCCAGCTCCTCTGTCTCCAGCTCCTCTGTCTCCAGCTCTGTTGCGGCCAGCGCCACCTCCAGCTCCACCGTTTCTAGCTCTGCTGAGATCAGCTCTACCATCTCCAGCTCTACTGTCTCCAGCTCTGCCGAGTCTAGCTCTACTGTCTCGAGCTCCGTCCAGGCTGCCGCTACCAGCTCTGGCTATCCCATGGCCAGTGTTTCCGTCTCCAGCACCTCTGCCTCCAGCGCCTCTGCCTCCAGCGCGTCCGTCTCTAGCGCTTCTGCCTCCAGCGCTACTGCCTCCAGCTCTGTCGAGTCCAGCGCTACTCTGTCTAGCTACGCTGTCTCCCACCCTACCGTCTCCAGCTCCAGCGCTGCCGCCCCGAGCGTGACCCGTGTCGCTTGCGGTCGCAAGCACAAGCGTGCCACTCGTGGCTCCAACTAAGCGCTCTCTGCCCTAAGGAGGACCCAGAAAAAAAGTCAGAATAAAACTTTCCATAGCCTTCAGTTAGGTGAACTCGGCCTCCCGTGAGTGTCCTTGGCCTGGCTATTGCCGGCGCTGTGTCTGCTTTCTTTTTAGGCTCTATGATTAGGAACGACTGTCAAGACTTTACGGCTGCATAATAAGAATTTATATCTGAATCCATTAGCATGGCGTTTGAGTTTGCACTATTGGATATCTAGACATTAATAGTAATACTGTATTTCCCACATGGAAATGGATTCGCGGTGAACTGCAGTTTATAATTCAAAAGCCATCTTATCCTTGTCTTCATGTTTCGCATAGTGACTTGAGCACCCTGCCTTAAGTTTGATATAATCTCAAGCGTCCTTGTCATAAGAATTAAAAGCTCAGAAATAACTCTTTAACTCAGATTAAATATAGTATTCTTGTTCTCTATGCGGCCCACAATTTGTCGCGTTGTCGACCCTGAGCCCACTCGTTACTAAATCCTCAACAGGAGTAACTGCGTTGCATCTTTACAATCGGGATACTCTCCATAGTTCATACACAAGACTGCATATCCTGGAGTGGGAAAGTCACATATTAGCTGCGTAATGTAAGAAATTCTGGTCTTGAATCACGCCAAGTATTCAAGCCTAACAATCTACGCATTTAGGGCACCAATGGATTCTGAAATATTCGCATCACGGTGCTGACAACTTTGCTTCAGTGTACCGATGTTCGAGCAGCTGACCGTCAGCTGCCCTCTACGCTCTTGGCACTGGCGTGACTTTGTTTTGGGTCACATTGTCAGCTCAGCCTCAGCCTCACCTCACCCGTTATTGCACCGATAATCTTTGTCTTGCCTACCACGCACTCTAAAATGGCTTAAACTCGAGCTCGCTGCTGTGACTATTGACTTAGGTCATGGCGCAAGGTGCAAATACAAAGAAGGTGTTCCGCCTTCGTAATCTACCCGGCCATGTTGATCGCCAGGCTGCAACCGAACTCTTCGCGAGCTGCTTCTCTGGCAACTTTTCCATTGCGTCGCTTGCCTCGTCCACTGATATCTGGCAGCGAATTCCAACAAAAATAGCGACTCTGACTCTCGATGAGTCGTTACTCACCAGGCAGGTGAGCTCCGGCCTTGGTGAATGGACGTTCGTGATTCCAGGACTACCACACCCTCTGATCTTGGGTCATCATTTCAGGGGACTCACTCCGTTCAACGAAGTAGACCCAGGGAATCATACACTTGAGTATGTAATCACAATTTACCTGGTCACGTTTCAATTGTGTTAATGAAGCGGCGTAGCTGCATAGCCATATCCGGTCTCTCCAGCCACCCGCTGGGGTCATGGCAACCCCATGGTGGATCGAAATCATTCATGTGGATCCGTGACGAACTTCCTCAGCAGTTTCCAAACGTTCGGTTCATTACTTACGGCTATGACACTTTGCTAGCCAAGAGCAACTCATTTCAAACGATTTGGGACTTGGCAAACACACTAATTAACGTTCTGCGTGCAGACGGATGGAGCTCGTCGACTGCAAAACGATTAGTCTTCCTAGCCCACAGCCTTGGAGGCGTGATTGTAAAGCAGGCCCTGGTAATGCTTGCTGGAAGCGGCCATGCTGAAGTACACATTGCGAGTCTCGTTCAAGGGCCCATGCTTTTCGGTGTTCCAAGCAGTGGGATGGCCGTAGACGATGTTTGCGCCATGCTTGGCAACCAGCCGAACAAAGATGCTCTCGTCAAGGAAATATCCGCTGAATCCAGTTTCTTAGCACAACTGGAGAGTCAATTCTGGGGTATCTCTTATGTGCGGAATATCAAGCTCTGTTGGGTGTATGAAACCAAAACAACGGGCACTCTTGAGGTAAATCCGTTTTTTATGAAGGTATACCTCATCACTAATATGTATGAAGGAAGACAGTACGAAGCCGGGTGGATTCAGCAGGTCTGGCCCAGGAACGGTGCTTGTCACAAAGGAATCTGCAACAGAGGGACGGTGTCACAGCCATCCTCACTTAACGATTCAGATCGACGAGAACCATTCAGACATGGTCAAGTTTACGCCAGGTGATCACAGGACTCGTATTGTTGCAAATAAGCTATCAGATATATTCGGCCTGGCCAAGGTATCTGATCGCCATAAGGATCAAGTGATATACGATGGAGAAGACATACACGACGCACCACAGGGCGAGGGTAATTCCATGGTAAAGGTCGTCTCCGATTCAATCGCAAACGCTTCTTTTGGTCCTTTTACCATCCCAGATCCAGTGTGGTGGGACAACGATCGTGAGAACTCGTGCCGTGAAACTATTCTCGCAAATCACTAACCACCAGGCTACAGTATTTCTCAGGTCTCTTCTTGACCGAGATAGGGAACTCGAAGGGATCAAATCGACCCTCAATCCTCCCACACACTAGAGTGGGCTTTCGAAGATGGTTTCACGGATCTCCCTAGGTGGCTCCAAAACGGAAACGGCATTTTTTGGGTCAGTGGGAAGCCGGGATCGGGGAAATCTACCCTTATGAAGTTTGTCCACAATGACGACAGAACACGTGAACTATTGCATTGTTGGAACACGTCGACCCGGCAGATTACGGCAAACTTCTTCTTCCACTATCGTGGCAACGTTATTCAAAAGTCCTTCGAGGGACTTCTTAGGAGCATCATCAGCCAACTTCTAGAAGCCGAACCAGAGCTTTACGACGCTATACATGTGCTTTTCAACAATAAGTACAACAAGCAAGTTCATTTAGAGCGCCTTGGCAGTTTGCAATCTGAACTCTATAGTCTAGCTAACGAGGCTGGATTGTCGGTGCCGAACAATACCAACTTGAAACATGATGTAGATGGTATCATACAAAACCAGGACGTCTCCCATACCCTCAAATATCTGACGAGTAGCATAAACTGGAAGCCAGGGCGCATACGAAGCTGGAATACTAAGTACGAGGAACGACTACTACAACGTGGCGATGAACTTCTCGACAGCCCCATGGGTGACTTGGATCTCGACCGAGTGCGCAAGGCTCTGGACGTGCGGATCCCAGCACCTGATTTCGATTCACTCATCATGACATGGCGAGAAAGAATAGATCTCGGCTCGAACATCAGGGCGCTCTTCGCCAAGCACCCACCCAGTTGGCTTCTGTCGGACCACTGGAATCCTGAGCACAGCAGCGTTGTCCATCATTCGTCAGGAACGTCGGAAGTAGAGGAAAGAGCACGAAGGCTAGATCAAGCCCGACTCAGGAAGCTCGATGATTCCATCAATGCCGTCTTGATACGGCACCAACGCCGCAAAAATATTAAGGCGGCGATTGAGAGTACAAAATGGAACAGAAAAGACCTCGAGGAAATCCTTCACTCAATATGTGCACAGTCGATGTTTGATCTCGACCTGTGCCTGTTTCTTGACGCCTTGGATGAGTACGATGGCCGCCCAGAGTTCATCTCGGGATTTCTGAAAGACCTGACCAGGGACGGACATTTTCCGTGCACTTGGATTCGTATCTTGTTCTCCAGCCGGCCATGGAAAACGTTCCGAGATGAGTTTGAGTCGTGCCCTGGCTTCAAGATCCATGAGCACACCCAAAATGACATCCGCAAGTACTGCATGACGAGTATCTATGGCCGTGGCCAGCTGTCTCAGTACCTACTGCCGTATGTGGACGAAATCGTCCACCGATCAAGCGGCGTGTTCCTATGGGTTAAACTCGTGTTGCATGATCTCTTCCAAGTTGTAGCGCAGCATGGTCATGGTGGCCAGCAACTGGCGGACCAGCTGAGGAAGACCATGGACACTCTCCCCGACCAGCTGGAGGCCTATTATGTGGTTATCCTCGAGCGGCTCTCAAATGCTACTAGGTGGGATGCGTATGTGATACTCGAGTCGCTTGTACGCTCAGTCACCAAATTGAGCGCTACACAGCTGTCGGACATTGTCGCCTACTCGTCCGTCCGACGATGGAGCGACGTCCGTAAGGTGAAACCTGGCCTGCGAGATGCTCAACAAGCAAGTAGATTTGTCCAGGAGGCTTGTGGAGGGCTGGTGGATGTCGAGGCAGAACACGTCCAGCTGATGCACCAGACGGTACGGGACCTCGTCGAAGCGCCTGGATTCCGCCATGTTATGTTCGACGCCAGTTACGCCGCCACGACGGACGAGAACGGCTTCTCCTTCCTGGCCAAGTACATCTTACTCCATCCGCACTGTGGCATTGGGGGCCTCTTCTCGTTCTATGCCAGGAAGGCAGAGAGGACCACGGGCTTGAGCCAACATTCTTTCTTTTTGGGAGTACCACCATCCTTTTTCCAGCGGCACAAAATGGGTGACTATGTATCATCACCCCTAACACTGGCAGCCTTCGCTGGCCTCGAGCTCTTTCTGGAAGACGCGCACAGAACGGAGAGCGAGGCCGTCGGGCGATCCCGCGAGTGGCTCCTGCTGAGCACAGACGCCGGTATAGGGCACGGCCTCGAGCCAGACGAGGCTCTCGTGATCATCCGGTCGCTGACGGCCAAGGGTTTTGCTGTCGACCGGGACCCAGCTGGGCTGAGTTCCTTCGTGCGGCAAATGTGGGGGGTTCGACACCAGAGGTGCGTCAACAACTTAGGGGGATTGGACCGGAGGTTTGTCGACATTGTAGCCACGCTTGTCGACCATCTAAGCAACCTCGAGATCTCCATCCAATGGAAAGACTTCGATTTCGAGGAGAACAATGAAGAAAAAGACAAGACCATGATGCCATTGCCAGACAGAAATCCCTTTTACGACACCCATGGCTACAGAACCAAGGGCCCGACCATATCCGGGAAGATTCTCCACCTCAGTCCACCAAGTATTGCGAGGATCCTCTTGGAACGAGGTGCTGACCCCAACGCTGCAGACTCGCTTCAGCGGTCACCCTTGGATTACCTTCTGTTTGCTGGATCGCTGCATTCTGCCAAACTGCATTATATCAATGAGCTACAAGAGCTATTGAAAAGTTACGGTGGGAGGTTCCGCCGCACGCTTGAGACTGATGGTCCTGCTTTGCATGACTAATATATATGCTAACATCATGTTACATGACAATTTTTATGCTGCATGGCAGTAATTTCATGCTAGATATCGGCAGCAGTCTAGTGTTCCATATTAGCAGGTTCCCGGCGGCCGCCATCCTGGGTGACCTATTAAACAGAGCCAATGTCAATGACAATAATTTTGAAATAAAAGGAAACGGCACAATGTTGTGTAAAATATGCGTTAAACTCAATCCTCTCTTCGGACAGCAGCTTTTCATATCGCCCGCAACAACGCAAAAATAGACTATGGATGAATACTGACGCTCTTGACTGGTACCGTCTACACGAAAGGTAAACACCCCGAAGAATAAGCCAGATACAGCATCATCCCAATCAAGAGACCACTGAAAGGGTGTTGCGGCGTCATCGTGACGTTGACCAGCCCCTCCTGCGTGGTGAGCCATACGACTGTGGCGAGCATGCCCACGCCGATGGAGGCGGGATCCAGGTATTGCGCGTGATTACGATACGTCCAGATGTGCAGGAGGAACTGGTACGGAAGCACGTAGGGGAGCTTGTCGGCCCAGTGGAAGAAGATGACAGAGGGCATATACGCGGCCAGGGAGAGCGACAGGCCCATGTGCAGGGTCCGTTGGCTCGTGAACATAACGCAAAGAATCGCTGGTATGCTTACGAGGATAGCCAGCAGGAGCCTGAGCCTATGTATGACTCTCGAGGCCACTGGAATCAGATACGCGGTCCAGGGTATCAGTCGGTATGCCAAATGGATCGAGACGCAACAGGCCGCGGTCGAAAATGCCGCTTCGATTGGGTCGACGCACGCAAGGCATTTCGGTCCGTACAGCACCCAGTCCCATGGAAGGTACTGACCCCACTGATCACCGCTCTCAGGACAATAGCACTGGTCGTTCCCAGCCGTCTTGGGGCGAAGAGCAAGGAGTCTGGCGAAACTGGCCAGCATCGATGAGACGGGGAGGTAATAGCAGAAGCAGATAGTCGTCTCCATATTTGCACCTGTGAAGCCGTCTCGAACTTCCTTGGCGGCATGCTTCGCCGCCGCGAAGGCCTCACACGATCTTCCTTGCACGGTGGAGATGATTTGTGCGGCAGAGAAGCCGGAAGAGTTGTGGTGCCGTTGCGGAGGAGCCGCGATTTCTAGATAGAAAGCCGGGTGCTGAAGCCACCGTTTACGAGTAGTCTTGATGGCGAAGCGATCTGTCACAAATTCGGCATCATTTGCCGAAACCCTATAGCGAATGGAAGTGGCAGCTCGGAGGCAAGAAGGAAAAACCCCGGAGGTAAGCCAGATACATATCGAAAAGGTGTCATTGGTATCCATCGTTCTGAACTTGATTTTGCGCTCCATGGGCCCGTGTCGTGGGAAATGGATGGTGTTGGAGGAGGGAGCCCAGCCTTCGCGCGGGGAGACGTCCAGGAGTTCGAGATTCTCGGGCAGCGATATCCATACAATCCCCCGGCGGGATTTATATTGCGTGGCCCAGATATGGCTCTCCTCATGATCCTTGGTACTCAGCACGAGCCGGCGCGGCTGCCACCGGAACCAGGTCGCGTAGGGCACCAGCTTGGGTGGAAGTGCGGCTCTCCCACATAGATCCTGACCAATTCTGATCAAGGGGACGGCTATGAGCTGCCAAGGATTGCCTGACATACGGAATGGCAGAATCACATATGGATGTTCGTCATGAGAGGTGGGCAATTCTAGGGCCAGCCCTTTGACGGTCAGCTCCCAGTCGTCCAGGCTGGCATCGAAAGGAATCAATCTTGCCGAGTTGGCAAAGGCGGCCGGATGCGACGCCAGCACACCACGCGCGCCTTTCATCCGCGCGGTCCAATGCGTCGGGTGGCTCCACGGGTGCTCCCAGCCGAAGAACGTCGACGGACGGGGCCAGAGAGATGATGGGTCGTGAAGCAGCTTAGCTATAGGGTGCTCATCGGGTATGTCAAAGACGAGATCCCAGGCAAGCAAACTGGGGTCGCACTGCTGACGTATCATCTCCTGCTGAAGGCGCCGAAAGGCCCCCGGTCCCTCGCCGTACAGAAGCGGCATGTTCACGCCGCAGAGACCCAGCAGACTATACGCCATGTCCTCTTCCCGCTCAGTCTGGCGCCGGGCGGCCCAGCTCATCTTCTCGGCGAACGTGGCCTTTTGGACACGAGACAGGCGGGATTCCAGGGGCAGATCCGCTTGGGTTGCCGATGTCTCCTCCATGGGCTGGGTGAGGTACCACTTGTTGATGCCTGTCATGTTGCTGACCAGGAGCGCCAAGGAATCGCGATCCCCAAGGGGGGTCCAGTCGCTAGCCAGGAAGTAGACTTGTGCCGGCGCCAGAAGTTCCTGGAGTGTGAACCCTCTGGTGAACCACTTGCTCTGTGCGAGAGAGGCGCTCGGTGACTCTTGATATGCTTCGGCCGTGACGTCGAATAGATATGCTAGACATATTGCGGAATTCTGATACCAGCGGAACATGGAGTTGATGGCCTCGGACAACTCGGTGCTGTTCGTCTTGTCGATGCAGCACGTGTCAACCCATCCGTACTCAAAGCCAAGCTCCGCAGCCTTCTCGCAGAACCTCCAGATCTTCACGTAGCCCGCCTTGGTCGTGGCTTCTGGAGTGTGAATCTCATTGAAAGCCACTTCCTCATCTCTCCATCTATGTGACAGAATGGCATAAGGAGGGACCTGTGCCCGGTGGAACTCCTCGAAGGCGAGAGTATGCACGTTCAAGAGGCGCATCTTCAATTGGGTTCATAGGTGGAGCTGCTCATGCGGTATCTAATTTGGTACATAGACTAGTCAGCGATTAGGACATACATACTTATATTGCATCGATTTTGGAGACAATGGGAAGGCAAAGCGTCGGTATGCTGTTGGATGAAACATCGTGATTCCCATAATCCAGCCTCGAATCCTTCGACGCCGCTTTGAAAGATAGTCCTGCATAGGCGCGTTGATCCCGTCAGCCACTCATGAACCACCACTGTTTCATGTACACGCACAAGTGTATAAACAGTTGCAAAGAGCGCCCAGGGTGTGTCAGATGTCCTAATTTGTGGAACAGATTTGCAGAAGTAAGCATCCTAGATTGCTGAAACGGGTAGATCGATCCCCCAGGCCAAGCAAAAGCAGCCCGGAGGAATCCGCTTTGCCAAATATAACTCTCACTGGTAAACATAGCAATATCTCAGAAATCGAAATGTCATCGCCGACTAAAAGTTTGTACCACCCAAGTAGTACGTTTCGAGGTAGTGGCGTTTGTGTGTGCAGAGAGAGCGCGGTGCTCATAGCGTGCCATCGTCCATTACGACGCATCTTCAGAAACGAACAGAGTGCTTGCCACACTTGATGTACAATTCTATTATGATACACATTCCCTAAACCGAACAGCGCCGTAGTATATAGTATATTTACATGGTAGTGCTCAGGTGCGAGACGTCGACCTGGGGGTCGGTCGGCATGAAGCCACCGTTCAGGGGGAAGCCAGGGCCGTTGGTCGAGGTCAGGACAACCTCGATCAGGTCCTTGTTGATGTTTGTCTTCTCCTCCAGGGCGGTGATGTCGGCCTTGACCTGGGAGACGATGGCCTTGACGTTCTCGGACAGCTGCTTGGGGGTGAAGAGGATGTTGCCGATGGGCATGCGGACGACGCCGATCTTCTCCCGGTACTGCTCGGCGCCGACCATCTCGTGCATCATGTGCTTGACGCTCTTGGTGATGGTGTTGGTCTTCAAGCTGGGCATGAGGCCCTTGGGACCCAGGATGCGGCCGAGGCCGGCCTTGTTCATGGCGGCGACGGAGTCGACGTGGCAGATGAGGCGGTTGAAGGGCAGGCTGTTGGGTTGGGTCTTGATCATCTCGAAGAGCGAGTCCTCGCCAAAGGCCACGGCGCCCCCCGTCTTGGCGTCGTGCATGGCACCGCTGCCCTCGGGGCAGATGACGCCGATGCGGGTGTCGTTCTTGACGGGGTAGGGGAAGCGGACGCGGTTTCGGATGACGGGACCGTTCTTGATGGCTCGGAAGCGCAGCGAGACCTCGTAGGTGACGGAGCTGGGAGGCCGGCCGACCTCTGCGGCACGGAGGTATCTGGACGGGCGGGCGAGTGAGTCTCGTGGTCACTTGTGGTCACTTGTGGTCTCAGGGGGGGGGGGGAAGCGGGTTCGGGTGCTGGTTCAACACGGGCACGTGGGTGGGCCATACCTCATGGCATCGCACAGGGAGTACTGCTCCTCCTTGCTCGGCACGGCGTACTTGTACTCCTTGAAGCGCTGCTGCTTCTTCTTCTTCTTGAGCTTCTCCTTTGCGCGGACGCGGGCCTGCATGGACGAGTTGCCGCCGCTGGCGCATCGGGTCTGGACGATGGACGGGGCGAGGAAACGCGGGATGGAGGCGGCGGCGGGCCTGGAGGCGGACGACAGGCTCAGTCTCGCCAGCGAGGCGAGACACTGGTTCATGGTGGCCATGCTGGGCCGCTGTGTTGTGGTGGCGAGAGGCGGAGTCGTCTGTCACGGCCAGGTCCAAGGACGACAAGAAAGCTCGGCTGCCCGTCCAGTCAGTACAGACTCGATTGCCAGCCAGCCAGCCAGCCCAGATGCCATCAAAATTTCGGGAGCTCGGGCCTCGCCAGACAAGGCTGGAGGTCGCGAAGAAGCGCTAGGCCTGAAGCGGCTGGCGTCGAGCTCTTATCTTATCGCCGGCATGGCCCCTGCCCCCTGCTTCCCTCGACTGGCGGCCTGCTGGCAGCGGCCTGCTCTCACCCCGCTTCAGCTGTCCACACATTCTATGGATTGTATGGATTTTTCTGGGCTACCCCGCCACCACCACACCACCAGCACCACTAGGAGGGGCAGACGGTCCAAAGGTTGGGCGGCCCATTGACGCAAAAACATTTGGAGTAGTTATTAGCCTTAGTCGTCGTTGTTGTCGTCGTCGTCGTCGTCAGTGACTCACGGCACAAGAAGTCAGATATTGGGCATCGCGAGTCCACCTTTCGCCTCCCTCAATTTCCCCTGTCAGAGTTTGAGTTCGGGTTCGAGTTCACACACGCACACACGCACACACACACCCGCCAACATGAAGGCCGATGAGCTCGTCGCCATCTCGACCTCCCTCGGAGGGGACTTCAAGTCCATCGAGCCCCATCTCGTCCGCCTCGAGAAGCACCTGGTCCTGCGCACCTACCTCGCCGGCTACACCCTGAGCGACCTCGACGCCAAGATCTGGGTCGCCATCAAGAGCAACCGTGCCGCCGTCGCCTTCGTCAAGAAGGGCTCCTACGCCAACCTCGCCCGCTGGTTCGCCTACGTCGAGCAGGTCCACCCCGAGATCCAGACCGAGGTCAAGGCCGCCGACAAGGCCCGCAAAGAGAAGGTCGCCGCCGCCAGCAAGGCCGGTGGCAGCTACAACCTCGCCCTCCAGAACGCCGACCAGGGCGTCGTCTGCCGTTTCCTGCCCGAGCCCTCGGGTTACCTGCACATCGGCCACGCCAAGGCCGCCCTGCTCAGCGACTACTTTGCTCACCAGGCCTACAACGGCAAGCTGCGCCTGCGTCTCGACGACACCAACCCCAGCAAGGAGAAGGAGGAGTTCCAGGATGCCATCATCGAGGACCTGGCCCTCATGGGCGTCAAGCCCGACTTTGTCAGCTACACCTCCGACTACTTCGACCACCTCTACGACACGTGCCTGGGCCTGATCAAGAGCGGCCACGCCTACGCCGACGACACCGACGTCGAGACCATGCGCGACGAGCGTGGAAAGGGCGTCGCCTCCAAGCGGAGAGAGCGCACCGTCGAGGAGAACCTGGCCATCTTCGAGCAGATGAAGCAGGGCGCCGAGGACGGCCTGAAGAACTGCATCCGTGCCAAGATCTCGGTCGACAACCCCAACAAGGCCATGAGAGATCCCGTCATCTACCGCTGCAACGTCAACGACGCCCACCATCGAACCGGCCGCAAGTGGAACATCTACCCCACCTACGATCTGGCCTGCCCCGTCGTCGACAGCCTCGAGGGCGTCACCCACGCCCTCAGGTCCACCGAGTACACCGACCGCAACCCCCAGTTCCAATGGTTCCTCGACACCCTGAAGCTGCGCCAGGTCCACATGTGGGACTTTGCCCGCATGAACTTCATCCGGACTTTCCTGTCCAAGCGAAAGCTGGCCAAGCTGGTCGACACCGGCCGCGTCTGGGGCTGGGACGACCCCCGTATGCCTACCATCCGTGGTGTGCGCAGACGCGGTATGACCATCCCCGCTCTCCGCGACTTCATCCTCAAGCAGGGCCCGTCGCGTAACGTTGTCGTCATGGACTGGACCAGTTTCTGGGCTGCCAACAAGAAGGAGATCGACCCCGTCGCCCCCCGACACACGGCCATCCTCGCCAAGGACGCCGTCAAGGTGGCCATCATGGGCGACGAGGCACCGGCTACACCTCACACCGAGGACAAGCCCAAGCACCCGAAGAACCCCGCCATTGGCACCAAGAAGGTCGCCTTCAGCAAGGAGCTGATCCTCGACCAGGCCGACGCCGCCCTCTTCAAGAACGACGAGGAGATCACCCTCATGCAGTGGGGCAACGGTTTCGTGCGGGCCATCGCCTCGGGCGAGCCCATCACCTCGATCACCGTCGAGCTGAACCTCAAGGGCGACGTGCGCTCGACGGAGAAGAAGGTCACGTGGTTGTCGACCGAGGGCCAGAAGCTGGTCAAGGCCGAGCTCTGGGAGTTCGACTACCTGATCACCAAGGACAAGCTCGAGGAGGACGACGACCTCGAGAAGTTCCTCAACCCCACCACCGCCACCATGGACGAGGCCTGGTGCGACGAGGGCGTCAAGGACCTCAAGAAGGACGACATCATCCAGCTCGAGCGCCGCGGCTACTACCGCGTCGACAAGGGCGTCGACGAGGGCGAGGACAAGGGCAAGATCGTCCTCTTCGCCATCCCCACCGGCAAGGCGAAATAAGCGAAACAAGCGCCACCGCGGTTCGAGCAGATAGATAGACACCGGGTGCGCCTTTTGTGTGGGATCGAATCTATGTAGCCATGTTCGAATGATAGGGTTATGTGAAAATGAAAGAGTTGTCAACCCAAAGTGGTAACTGTCTTTGCGCGGAGTTGTGAGAGTCTAACCAAATGTTCTGGCGCCCTAGCGACTAAAGTTATAGACGTCTACAGACTTGCTTGATATTCGCAGCCATGATATATAGTCAATGCCTAGCGCTACGCCCGAATTTGTCGTCAGATCCACTAATGACTTACACTATAAGGTGCTAGAGCACAACTCCTAAAATGTGCATTGTGGATGTGGTACATTAAGAGTAAGAACACAGACTAGACCAGAAACACTGAACTATGTATGGTAACTGGACCTGTATTGGTGTTGTGAGGGGTGTAAGTAGTTGCCAATTGGCACGGTGTGGGAGAGCATCCTTACTGTCACAATTCAGAAAGCGCGGCGGTCCGGTTCTGTGGCAGCTCGGCCGATGAATCATGTAGGATTTCACCTCGAGGCGTTGCGCTGGGTTAAAATTGCAGTGAAAGTCGATTTTAGGTGATTCTAGAAGGATTTATTGGTTGTTTGCAAAAAGAAAAGAGGCACACCCGACCAATCAATGGGTTCAATTGAGTCAACCAAATCTTTTTTTCCTTCGGTCGGCAGCGCCGTTGACGGCTTCGGCAGCTACATGTACTCAGTCGGTGCGAGGAGGGTTGGGATGCACAGTAAAACACTCTCAAGGGCGTGCGTGGTCGACACAGTATTCAAATCAGATGCGTCGCATTCATTTCATGCCAGGTGACAGGATAGGCGTTGGGCAAAATAGATCAAGCCCTCGAAGTCGCTGCGACAATGGTTGTGCATTCGCAAGGGCATCTGGGCTGCCTCGGTGTACCCGTCCATTGTGAGCGCCGCGACGGCACTCAAGTCCAAGGACGACTTGGTGCGGCTCGTCTGTGAGGGCTAAATTTGCAGTGAAAGCGCAGAAATTAGGCCCCATAAGGTTAGCCTCCTCCTCATCAGCGTTGGAAACGAGCATGCCATGTTTCTTTAGTATGACTCCTCCCAGTGATGGCAACACTGGCCGGGTGGTATTTCATGGTCTTCAGACGGGAATGGAATGCCAAATCCTGTCTCTTCACTGTAGGTATTCAGCTTAGCAGTGTCCACTCAAGCCCGATCCCGCAATATTGAATCAGGTCATGACCCTCACAGTTACGACGTCGATATGTTCTCATTGGGCGGCGAAGCTCACATACTTCGAGCATTTCTCTCGACTGTATGGCCCCGTTTTGCCTCGGTTCAGAAGTTGGATCTAGGTTTTTGGCAAGTCATGCGATGACCGCGGTCAACACGCACCAGGTTCGATCCATTACCCCGACAGGACCTACTGCAGTTTTCATGTATCGGCGTCTACACCTTGGTATTTATTTCCTCTTCAGATCACTGCCATCGCACTAGATGCGCAGACGTCGGGCGAGAAAGAGCCTAAGTCTGCCTGGTTCTTGGCATAGAAGGCTGGTGCGGAATGGACAGCGGACATCAATGGCGTCCCATATCAGCGCCTGTTTCCTGTGACATCGGTGCGGTGAGAGTGGTGTGGATTAGACAGCTTGGGATTGAGACTGAACAGCCAGCCCTCGGAATTGTGGACCGTTTTGAGAGCTCTTCCATCTACGCTCGACTTACCAGAACCCCGGGACTGAGTGTATACGTCTGCGCATATAATATATTGTATGTATTACAAGACAGTCTGTACTCCGTAGAGAGACCGCAGTCGGTTGATGCAAAGCCACGCACTTATGTCAATGCCGTCGAGCCGCTGATGCCAGGACATTCCACAGGTCAGCTGGAAGCCGTCCGCTTGGCGCCAAGTTGCCAACCCATCAGACAAATCACTAGAAAATGTGGAAATAGTGCCTGGCCAAGAGGAAAAAAAGTTCCCTTTGCCGCATTCCGCATCGCGTATTTTTTTATGTCATGATCTCGGGTTCTTTATGACCATGCGTTTCGTACAAGGTTGGAGGGTCGAGTGTAGCCACAGGTTCGTTGGCTACGTCTTACCCTTAGAGGCTTGCGAGCTTTGTGACACGCAACAGTGCCATCTTACTCTAACGCCAAGTTGGTACCAGCAACTGACAATGAAGGCAGCTTTCCAATCTGGGCGACGGCCGCTACGGCTGATTGGGATCTACCAGCCTCAAGCCTTGCTTCGCAGCCACTCCATGGAGTCCCGTATCAAAATAATGCAATATACTGGGGAGGAAGAGCTCTATACAGTCAGCCCAATTTCAAATCATCGGCCATGCAACAGTCACGCTCCATCGGCGAGAGACATAGTTCGATGGGCGAATCGGGTTGCGACGAATTGGGTACTCCGATTCGAGGGTGTTGAGGCTACCGAAGTTCGAGCACTAGAATTAAGGACCGCAGGAACTGAAGCCCGAGGACTCTGCCGGTCCAGCAAGAATCCACTCCGGCAATGGTTCCACTTTCACCAGAAGATATGAAATACTACTTACTTCCGAGTTAGGTATAGGTAGGTATACCTAATCCCGGCTTCATCCGTCAAGGGTGCCAATACCACTTTTTTGATCCGAAGTCCGTTGATGAACTGGCTGTGGCCGTGCTGACGCCCTACGGATCCGGATCTCGCTGAAAACCAGGGCAGCGTTCTTGAGGGAATATAGTGGACGGCCATAGGATGTAAGACTTACCAAGTGGGCTGACTTGGTCGCCCCATGCGCGCCTTGCACGAAGCGCGGAATCGCACTAGAACTGTGGCTTACGACGTGGAATCTGTAAGGGGCTGTCATGGATCAACGTCTGCATCTCGGTAACACCCGATTGTGTGGAGGGACTTCACTTACATAACTGTCGTCCTGGGAAATGGCGAATCAGGGTTGGTGCCGGGCGAGCGCGGCGTGGAACCGCTTTGGGAAATGACATCTCTAGTACCTCTTACTGCCTGTTTGGGTAAGTAATCGGCTATGGCAGGGCTCAGCACCGCTAGCGTCCGCCCCAAGGACCTCAGCCGCACAGGCTTGGTAGCTTGACCTGGGGTCGAACTGTTGGCAGCCTCAAAGGGGGACGATTTCGTGCCTGTTGCCGTCATATCTGCAAAGTAGACAGAGATTCACGATGATATCATTGGCAGGCCGGGAGATGAGAGCTGTCAGACACAAGCCATCACCGTACGTGTCGGGCCCCACACCCACGAGCTGTGCCTTAACGCAATAATTTAGTACGCACTGCCATCGAGAAACATTTATATAAGTTGAAGGGGATGCCGTAGTGAATCCCAGTACCAGACCACAATAGATTACAGTAGCATTTTCCCCCGACGTTTACAAATTGACGTACACATAATCTTCGATGTTCGCCCACCACCACCTCCTCCTCGCTACCGCCGCGGCAACGTTGGCGGCAGCTACGCCCTTGAAAGGCATTTATCCGCAAGACAATGGAACGACCGGGATCACTTGGGGACCTTGTGACTTCGAGAGCAAGACAAATGCGACAATCCAATGTGGTTCTTTACCTGTTCCGCTCGACTATAGCAATCCCAAATCCAACAGAACTTTGACCCTCCAAGTCGTCAAGGCTCCCGCCGTGAACGGCCCGTCGAAAGGGAGCATCCTATTCAACTTTGGAGGTCCTGGATACCAAGCGATTAATTCTTTGGCTGATACTGCCCCCTTACTCTTCAAGTATGATATGGTATACCCCTCGTTGTGAGCTAAGAAATGGCTGACACCGCACGTGTAGCATGACTGGTGGCCACCACGACCTTGTTGCTTTTGATCCACGGTATGCCACCGATTACCCTCAAAGACAACATGTATGTCGATTCTAACGGGCTGAGTTACTAGTGGAACCGGAAGATCAATCCCATACTCTTGTTACGACAATGCAACCGAGAGAGAATTAGCGGCCTTGAAGTATCCGGGGAAGTTTGGCAATAGCTCAGACGTAGGGCTAGGGGAAACTTGGGCTTATGCTACAATATTGGCCAACCGATGCGAGGAGAAGACAAAAGACATCGGTAGCTTTATAGGGACCTCCTTTGTGGCGAGGGACCTGATGCAGGTTGTTGATACACTGGGTGAGGATGGCTTACTCAACTTCTGGGGTAGGTGATAGATTCCACCACAAGTGTACATAGCGATCTTAACTGACCTACAGGTTTCTCCTACGGCTCACTACTTGGAGAGGTAGTGGCGGCAATGTTCCCCGACCGGATGGGACGTTTGATCCTAGATGGTGTGGTCAACGGAAACAACTACTACCACAACTTCGGCATGTGAGTATTCGCGCACGGATAGATGCCCATGCTCTCTAATGCTTACTCCGAGTAGCGACAAAGATCAATTGCTGGCAGTCGAGGATGCCTGGGACGCCATGCTTGAGGAATGCCTCAAGGTGTCTTCTGACCGTTGCGCTCTTGCGGAGGTGAACTCAACAGCCGCCGAGTTGAAGCAAACGTTGAGCAACCTTGTCCAACAAGTGAAATACGCGCCAATCGTTGTTGATGATTTCGTTCTTGACTACACAAGTCTTGTTGCGATTTCCTATGTCGCAATGAAAAACCCATCAATAGCGCCCGCCGTGTTCAAGGTTCTGCACGACATTTTAACGGGACAGGACCTTGCCTCTCTGGTTCCGTTATTAACAGCCCAGGCTGCTAATATCGCAGTGGATGGAGACGGCTTGTACGGAATCAAGTGCAGTGACTCATTTCCGCGATCGTCCACCCTTGCAGGAGTGATGTCCGAGATCGAGTACGGGGTCAGCACAAGCCCCAACTTCTGGGGTATTCTTACAACCCAGGTTATCCAGTGTGCTCAGTGGCCATTTGAGGCCAAGGAGCGGTACACCGGCGATTTCAAGGTCAAGACCAAGAACCCCATCCTGTTTGTCGGGAACTCATATGACCCTGCGACTCCGCCGCATTCTGCCCGGAACATGACCGCTTTCTTTGAGGACAGTGTGATGTGGGAACAACATGGATTCGGCGTAAGTTTCCTGTTCCACTAGGCTCTTGGAGAAAATGAAGTGAGCTAATCACAAGTGCCAGCATACCACATTGGCGGGCCGTTCGGAATGCAGCTGGAAGATCATCCAGGATTATTTCAACGACGGAAAGCTACCAGATCCCAACACTGTTTGCGAGACTGAAGTGGATATTTTCCCCGAAACGCCTCGAGCATAGTTTGAGACCACGAGTGCTACGTCGGGTCGTGCGGGCAGCTGGGCGAACCATTGTAAGATAGCTCATTATAGATAAGTCGATCAGAATAGAGATGAGCCGCTTGGGAATAACTTTACGGCTGCGCAAATTGGTTTGAAGGAACTTTCTACGGACCGCTTCTCTCGATCCTATGGTCATTATTGGGCCTCCGAAGCTCGCAAGGGGGTAGACAACCTGCATAAGCTAGCTGGTCCCGGCATCGGTACAACGCATGGCAAGCGATCTCAAGCTTACGCAAAAGATTACACTGGCCAGGGTGTAGAGCACGGTGACCGCCCGGCCTACCAAGATAATAACCCAGAAAACTGGAGTTATCAACCCCCCGAGTACAAATATGTGCCCTGGGGAATGAACGCAAAGGTAAATTGACCGTGAAAATGGCTTTATTTTGTTTGGTTTTGATGGCGAGGAACGGAAACTGGAGAATTGACTACAGTTACCCCCCTCTTGATGCTTGGGTACAGGAAGGAAAGGGAAGATATCGCCACCTTACATCGAGAGTGAAAACACGAAAGCTACCGGCAGGTGCATATTTAATCGAGAAGGATCCGTCCGTTGGACCGCCTGATACTCTCCATGAGCTAGGTGAAGATTTTTATCCAACACAGTTAGTAGAGCATGAACGGCAAGGCAATGATTATGATAAACAAGTCTTCAGCCAAAAAGCCGATAGTTTTCACGTCCCTAGTTAGGCAAGTCACAGTCGCCAGTCAAGTGATGATCAGCTAGCGGGTCCTTCAGCTGGTCCCTCAGAGACAAGTCGGATCAGTCGTCGAAAGTATGGGGAATCGTCCAAATCGTCCAAAGCAAGAAGTCATCAAACGGGTGAATCTTCCAAGCCGCCCAAGTCATCCACTTCGTCAAAGCATATCAAGGTCACACTGAAAGAGTCAAAGGGCAAGTTGTATGTGATGGTCGGTAACAAACAACAGTTCGCCTACAACGAGAAAGATTTTGTAAGACGCAGCAAGAACGAAACGTACAAGCTTTGCAAACGCGGCAAAGTCACCTATAGGTTGGACGACCAGTCTCCAGTATGCAGTGGTACCGCATTTCTCGCTTCCCGTCTTCCTTAGGTTCTTCAGATTCTGGAAACCCTTTTCGGAATACAATATTTCCTTTCGGACGAATCTACTGGTGGCACGCTCTTAGCTCTTCGCGAACCCAACGAGCGCATTCGTTGTTGGACCCGCAAGAATTTGGCGTTATTCATTGCGGATTTATTTCTAATTTGGCAAATTTTTGGTTTTAATCTCCTAGTTTTCTCCAGAATCTCTTCTGCGTTGAATTAGTTTGGAAATTTCCATTAGGCAGCCAACGACGACTCGACGGCAACCTTGCACTCTCATTTGTTTAATCATTCATTCAATCATCTATCTAAATAGTGAACTGGAGTGGTGCTCCAGGACAGTGCTGTCCCAGAACGTCCACAGCACCCAAAGTAGTTTTCAACGTCTTTACCGACGAATCCAACTTACTTTATCTGATAGGACCTGACTAAGTAGAATAATAATTCCTCCTGTAACGTGTACGATAAAGGTTGTCGGTCGCCAGAACGCAGGGTACAATTATAGGGGTGAAAGGAGCGTTATCTTGTTAGAATCCACACGCGGTAAAGATAGCTATATAGGAAATAGAACTTAAAGCCACACTACGCCACCGGGCAAGCCACACCACCCGAGCTCAATAGGAAAAAGAGGGATGTGCAGGTGGTTTATTAGTAGTAGCCTTGGGCCACGGACGTTCGAGAAATCTTGATCCACTATTTTATTACTAGTAACCCGTCTGTTCTATTATTAAGTTTGTGATTACAACACCGTCTGAAATCTCTGCCAAAAGATACTTAACTTGTGGGTGGAATCCTTAATTCTCCCCCGTCTGCCGTTTAACTAGGCTAAGAATCTGATACGTTTTGGTAGAAGAGGTACACACATAGATAGCTGTGCCAGCTGGTAAGTAGATAAGGAGATAAGCCAGTTCTGCGGTAACACACCTTGGTGGGTGCCACGGATACATGCAGCATTCTCCATCTTTAATGCATCACATATCGCATCCCATAAGGATCGCATCAGAATCCTTGTCTTTTGAAGTATCGCGCCCATAGTATATGCCATAACATAGGATGATCTGATATGATCTGATCTCACCAGAGAACTCGTTTCCCAGAAACAAGGCACTGCAGAAGCCTGGGACCAACTGCACCCAGACTTCGTGCCGACGGGATAGGGCTTGAAGTGAGGCATTCTAAATATAGTATTCGATGATGACTGCCTTTATCAGTAGTTCTACCCTTGTGTGAAAGTTTTACTTGACATATTGCACATCTCTTGATATCAGCTTCCAATGACTGTACGATGAGCACCTTAGATATATAAGACTCGAACATAAACCTCTCGAACATAAACCTCTCGCGCCATGTTCCGGATCGTCAATATTTTCGGTGTTGTGATGTTGCACTTCGTTCTCAAATGCATGGCCATGCAGTCTTACCGTAAGCTAAGCAAATCGAGTCTTCATCTGCAACTTATTGCTGGACCTTAACTCACTAACAAACGCACAAAGCCTTGGGGATTCATCTCGGGCCAACTCACCTGTAATGAGGAAGCAAAGCTTCAATTACTCCGTAACGTAGTGACCATGGCTGATCTACGAACAGTACTGCTGCTTATATTAACGGAGACAGCGACCCATTTATCGTCGCAAGTATTGGAAGTCCTCAGGGGTATCAAGCTTTGGTTGCTAATTCATTAGCAAACCAAGGAAATGGAGTGTAAGATCCGGCTGAAGAACAGCCACCCATATGTGATGGTTTCTCGAACACAGAGTAATCATTATGACAGACGAGAGGGGAACTACCCCTACAACACCCGAGCGGAGCCGATAATTATGACGGCCTACAAGAGATTAGGCAAGCAATCGAAAAGCTGATGCTGATAACGATCAACATTAGCAGCATCGTTATTTCCCATCACTTCAACTTCTCCATCTCCAACGTCGTACTTGCCGCAACCCAGAAGCTCGAGCCTAGTATTTTAGGTGTGTGGCAAATCCGCCGCTACTATAACGCAACTCGTTTGACATATAATCTCAACTCATGAGAAGGATTCGGTCTAGGCGGCGACGTGACTTGTAGAGTCAAAGAAACTGACATTATCGCAGGACAAGGAGAGTTATTGGGATACAGTGCGCACACAGCTCCAGAAACTTGTTCAAGACCACCTGAGAACACCCGACATCATCCCATTTATTCGCGCCATCGTCGTGAGCGGGCATGTCTCTTCACATGCCGGATTTCGCCGTATTCATGACATTTTGGTCAGCATTTTTGCCTGAGCTGGTAGACAGAGTCTTCGATTCTACTGATCCGGCACACGTTGGGGTCTTTGGCGCAGCACAGTGGGCTAAACTGCAGGTGCTGGAGTCAGAGGAGTTCTACGAAACTGACATCCGCGAGGTTCCAGCACTCAATGAATCGGCTTATCTACGTGATAACTTGGGAGTTCTGGTCAAGAGGTATGGCAGGTTACTTACCTGCCATTAAAGAGGAGTGGCAAGCTTCCAACTATATCAGCACTTGAAATATCCGGTGCCCTATGGAAGCTGCGCAGTGTGCATTTATCAAGTAGCATTGTAACAACTTGCTCACTATTTTGATATCAAAAACTCGCCAAGAAGCCATGCTCAAAGGACCAAAACTGCTTTGTCATGGCAGACGAAGTATCCACAACCGAAGGCTGCATTCGACTGCAATTGATAATCTTTGTTTGAGCCTACTCAATAAAGACCAACAAAGACGGCGGGCCTGCTGTCCGAGATCGAAGAGAACTAGTGTGGAATTGTCAAAATGGAACATCGAATTACTGCCTTGTTAAATGCCCGGGATCGTATTAGTGTAGTGGTATGTTGTGACAGTTCCCGGAAACGGCATAATCAGCTTGGAAACCTGTACTCATTGTATATAACCAAGCGATTAAATTTATGGTTGTCTCTGGGCCTGAGTGTTTCCTGACATAGACTGACACCGATTTCACCGCTTCAAGACACAAATTCTATAGACATATTGTCACGGTAAGACGTACTATATACTACCCCTTACAATGGCAGAACCGCATGGAGGTTGGAACACGGACTGGAACCAACGAGCCGAGAGTGATTTCCTGACAGCCATCTGCCTCTACGGTAACCTAAGGCCCACGGCCACTAGGCCATGGGGGGTCATGAACCAATGGCCGGTCGTCACGGGCGAGATGAGGCGGCGCGGCCACGACTTTTCGAGAGACAGCATGGTTCGGCGGTGGCGAGATCTAAGAGAGCAATTGGAGAACCGGCCCCCGCTTCCAACCGAGAGACCTGACATGTCGATTGAAGAGCTAATCGCGTCACGCTGGAGGCTGAATATCCCAGGTGTAAGTTCGTTTTATCTTGCCGTGCTCTAGACAATCCGCAGTATCGACCTGTACCGTGTTCTTCCACTTTGAGAATACGTCATCTGTCCTTGGACTAACCGAGCCTTCAATCTGTAGGTGACAGATGATTTGGAACCACCTCCACCTCCAGTACCATTTCACCAGAATCCAGCAGACTACCGCGACAAACCACCAACAAGACATACAATCCCATCCTCAAGGACTTATATGAGAAAAAGACGTCTCCAAAGAGATTATGAAGATATCGTCGGCGAAGACGATGATGGTGAAGACCTGCACAGCGTGGCGCCAGGGGGTGCCGGCAACCCAGTAGCCGGTCCCGGCGCGGCCGTCCCACCCCCGGAGCCATCGCCGTTGGACAACGCCGACTACAACAGGCGCATGGCCAGTGACTTCTTCGACATGAACGGGGACCAGCGGATCGGGGCCGATTACATGTCCCGGGTTGTCCATGCCGGGCTGGAGCGCGTGCAGATCCAGGGCGGCTACGACCCGGCGACGCTGGCCATGGTGGAGAACGAGCTGAACACGGCCGCGAACAACTTCCGGGCCGCGGAGCACGAGATCGCGGTGCGCCAGAACAACCCCTTTTCCCCCGGCGGCAGTAACGGCGGCGGCGCAGAGCTCGCTCCCGCCAACTATAACAGCCCCCAACCGAGCAACCCTTTCAGCCCCAGCGCCTTCAACATCGCGTCGCCGCCCAACAACGCCGCATCGCCCGGTACCGTGGCCAACTACGCTCCGGTCGGGGCCGGGCCTTTCACCAACTGGACCCCCGGAAATTTCGGAAGTCCGTTCCCTGCGCAACAGACGCCGCAACAGCTACAGCAATCCCCGGGACAGCCCAACAACAGTAACGGCGGTAACCCTCCTGGTGGCAATGCGTACTCTACAATGATCACCGCCCCGGGAGCAAACGGGAATGGCACCATGGTGAATATCAACGGGAGCTGGGTGTGGATGACGCCGATGGATTCGCGCTTCCATGGCCGCGGTTTTGGGAATTAGAGAGCCCGGAGTGCTTGCACTACTATCACTGGTTCGATGTGTGGTGATGGCCTCAGACAGTATTATGTATTCGGTGCTTCACCATTTGATATGTAGACTAGATCACTGTAGAGAAGTGGATGCCTCAATCGACCTTACTGAAATTCCATGGGGTAGTCTCACATAAATATGCCGTTTTTCTTGTTCCTTTCTATTAACCTAATATATACTAAGTTCGATCCAACAGTATAAAATGACACATTGCATACGGATAGGAGTCTTAGCTTAGTCCACAACGTCCCATCGTCTAGTAAGCCAACCGTTATCAAGAAATCCATGCACTATGTGTAGTGGTACCGACACAACACATCCCGATGCTCGAGTAAGTAAACGCCTCGACCCACCTATCCAACCCTAGAGTATGCACCCTGTATAACTCCCAAAGTCTATCACCAGTCCGCGCACGTATGTATCTATATCCAAATTCGAATCAACCAACCGCGCCCTCAGAAAGCCAAAACTCCAACCGCAAGTCCACTCAATACCATGCCCCAGCCCCAAAGCCGGCTCCGCACCAACGTGCCCGCATCCTCCTGTCCATCCCCGTTCTTGTCATTGTTATTGTCACCATCGCCGTCGCCGCCCGTGGGATAGATGTGCCCGCCATTGCTCCCGGTGCCCACGCCGGGGCGGGACTGCGCCACGACGGCGCACGCGCCCTCGTCGACCTGGTAGCCGGTGCCGACCCTGCGGCCGAGGCTGGCGACGACGGCCTGGGAGTCGCGGACCTCGACGCTCAGGGTCCCGTCGTTGCCGACCTGGACCGTCTTGCCGCTACCATCGTCCACGGGCGAAGGCGTGCCGTCGCCGCTCTGCTCGAACGACAGCCCGTTCCACGTCGTGCCCGCCGAGGCGTCGGACCCGGCGTTGGTCAGGTAGCTTAGGTAGACCTGCTGGCCGGCGAGGCCTGTCGGCAGCGAAAGCTGCACCGTGAGGCTGGGGATGTTGGCGTCGGTGCTCTGGGCCTGCTTGGCGTTGATGACGACGATGCTAGCCCACTGGCCGGCCTGGTAGACGCTATACGAGCGCACGAAACCGTCGTAGCCGGCCGGGAACCCCGTGATGACCTGGGGCGCGACCTGCGCCGTGCAGGTGGGGCCGATGGCCTGGTCGAAGGCCGCGTAGCCGTAGTAGCCGGGCCGCACGAACGGCTGGCGGCCGTACATGGGGATGGGCTGCCAGGCCGAGGCGTTGCTCGTGTCCGTCATGTGCAGCTGGACGCTGCTGATGTTCAGGCTCGCCGCGTACAGGAAGAAGTTCAGCGTCCACAGCGCGGCGGCGAAGACGTCCGTCACCCCGTGCATGCCGATGGGGCCCACGACGCCCATCTCCCTGAGGGCGTACGGGTACGGCGTCTGGCCCGCCTGATCAAGCTGCGTGAGCCAGGCTGAGAACTGGTCCTCGGTGGTCGACAGCTGGAGAAAGTGTGAGAGGGTGAGCGTGTAGGCCGACACGCCGATGTAGTAGTAATAATCGTGCTGGTTCCAGGAAGCGATGAGCGGCTTGTCCCCATTTGCGGCGTTAGCCTCGATGCCGAAACTGACGAGATCCTTGATCTGGAAATCGGTCCCTATGGTCGAAGCCGTACACGCAGGCTCAAAGAAAGCAGCTGTGATGTTGTTGGGTTTCAACACTTGCTCGTATACTGCATTCGCCCGTGCAAGCCATGCCTCAGTATATTCCCGGCCGCCCCACGGCGCCGTCCGGAATGAGTTCTGCAGATACAGGTCCGGCTCATTGCCAATCTCGAAAGAGACGAGCTTCAGGTTTGGGCAATTTTCGACAACTTGTCGCGCCATGGTCGTGATCTGCTGTTCCCAGTCTGACTCCTCGTACGCCAGATTGAGCCCCCAAGTCACCGGCGTGCCCTCCGGGAAGCGGTTGGCGGCCTCGAAGAACCGCGGGCCGATTAGCATGTGGTCCGATGCATAGGCGCCCTGGCCCACGGAGTTTGGGTTGTTGACCCAGGTCCATCTGTCCTGATCCTGACTGAAGACCATGTAGTCCTCAGTGTTGCCACCCAGGCGGATATGTGGCGGCTTTCCCGTGAAGTTGGCCAAGTTATTTATCAGGTTAAATGTGAGCTCATTGGGCGTATCATAGCCGGTAAAGGAGAACAGATTAGATGGCTCAATGCCGAAGCCTGCAAACGACGGATCAATGTAGCCGGAAGCGCCAGAAGGCGGCGATCCTGGGACATCAAGGCTGATGGTGTTCTGAGCCAACGTCCGGAGTATCAAGTGGCAGCCAGCGAGGGCGCCGGAGAGCCGTGGGACCCCGGGCATCATCCGAGAGCAATTTCCAAAAAGAGAGGTAAAGAACGACGAACAGATTGATTTGAGAAGAGTAGCAAAGAAGAGCAAAAAGAACGAAATATCTCTGTCTCTAGCCGCCGCCACAGGATGCTAGATCTACCTGCGTTGAGGGAGAAGGTACAATTGGGAGTCGTCGTGGCAATTTTGCCGTGGGCAGTGGCATCCGGTTTCCCCACGGCCGTGCCATCCATCTCAACGTGTGTCCGTGGTCAACGTCGTTCCGGCGCAAGGTTGCGCTAAACTCTGATTGTGGCTTGCCACGTACAATTCCTGAAACAAGTCCCATCCGTTTTCCGTTGTGAACCTTTACTTCTGATTAGATGGATATGACTGCTCCGGGTGGTGCGAGTATGCCGATACCAGGAGTGCGTGTTTGCTGCTGATGAAGCATGCTTGGCTGTTTAAGAAGTACGGAGTAACGTACACTGGCCAAGCTCCGTGACGCATTGGAGTAACATGTGTTTGTGAGACAGCCTCACGTGATGCCAAAGCCGGTAGTTGGATCGCAATGCTAAGACGATTGGCACGCCTTGGTGATGTTGTGGTACGTAAGAAATCCTTTTGACGGCGGGCCAACCTGGAAACAGCATGCAGTAATCTACCTGTTCCTCAATCCATGCATATGGACACGTCTGACACAGTCATATAAGTAGATAGGCTACACCCATTCTGTTGTGGTCTTTGGTTGGACATACCGGACATGTGTAGCTCCCAAAGGTCGTCGCTGTATCGTATAACAGAGTTACCTTGGCTCACCAAACCAAGGCGCGTGGCTTCGGTCGCGGACGGGACATGTTAGGTTTATATCCCAACCGCTTGTCTGTCAAGATGGCGCAGCATAGAGCTCCGGCATTGTGAGCCGCCTAGAGTTCGGGGGCGTGCGCTAAAAGACTCTATGCCCCTTGATCCGATATATCCGTCTGACAGTTCAAGCACAGCAATGTGGGAGGACCATGAAGAACGCAAAACATCTTGGCATTAAGTACTAGAAGTGCAACGCCTATCTAATGCATCGATCCGGTCTCATCTTTTGTATCTCTCAACTCCGCCGTTCGTGTCCCACGAAGGGTAATGTAGGTGGAAAGCAAGTGAATGAGCTTCGTGAGCTCTGATATAGTCGTACATGAATCTCCCAAACACAGTCAAGCAATGAAAACAACCCTGCAACGCCGGAGCCCGTGTGCATCCCTTCCGTATCAGCATTAGTCCGAATCCATCATGGCCATGGCATCCCGTTCGGCCTCAAAACTCTCCGTGGTGATGGCAGCAGCCATGGCAGCCTTTTTGGCCTCTCCGTCCTCGTCGTCCGCGTTCGTCAGGTCCAAGAACATGCGGTCGACATCCTTGTCATCTCCATCTTCCTGTCGCAACTCGGTATCTCCCGTCATGCTCCGGGACCCGCGTCCCAGCCCACCTTCGGCATCCCAGACATCGGGCCCAAATATCTCTTCCGCTCGGCGTCGTCCTTCTTCCGTGCGCCTAAGGATCTCGAGGGCCTTGCCCTTTCCGGCTTCGCTCTGCAAGTTGAGCGCGTCGTCTTGGCCACTGAGGAGGCGCTCTTCAAGCGACAATGGCTCACGATCAGAAGCCAAGAGCTGTGGCCCAGGACCCTCACTGCCGTTGCTCATAAAGAAATCCGGATGTAGACGGGCGCTGTCGGGACCATCAATGTCCATTGGACCCCCACGCAGTGCGGAGCCTGGTCTACTAGACGAGGCGGAATCCGGTCCGCGCATGGAGTGACCATGAGCGGTACTCGCCAGTGCGGGTGTGGGTGGTTGCGAGGTACGTCCAAAGAAGCCGTGGCTCCCTGATCCGAAAGAGTGAGCCGAAGGGCTGTTTGCGTTGGCGCCGCCCGTCACGGAGCCTGCGGATGCAGGCCCGGTCGCCGCGGCGGCGGCAGCCTCGGCATTCATCGCCTTCCGTTTCAAGCTGTTTGCTTTTGCCCTCAGACTCTCGGGTAGCTCCTCGGGATCCTTGACGCCGTGTTGATTCAACATCTTTTGCAGCTTCGTAGGTCGGGGTTTCCGCGTGCTCTTGGACACGTCCAATACCGGTGGTGGTTCAGGGGCAACGGGGCTCCACTTGTGCAACTCTTGGCGGAAGAAGTTGGTCTCGAATGCGAGCAAGATTTCCGCACCCTCGATCTTGCGCAGATAGAATCTCTGCGTCTCAGCTTCAGAGGCGGTCGCCATGATCGGGTTGCAGTAGACGGAGATATGGTTCCTGAAGTCCTGGGCGTTATCGATAATCTTGCGCAGTATTTCCTCCTCTTCCGGCTGGAAAGGAAGGCCCGGAACTTCATCCTGCCAGGAGATCAAATCTTCGATCTTGGGTCTGGCAGCATCTCGCGGGATCTTGACGCGCCAGTCGCAGATCGGGCAGGTGTACTTATCATCTTCCTTGACCTTGCCACGCGCGATCTTCAGACACTTGCCGTGGTACCACTCATGACAGAGTTCGCATTCAATCATCATGCCGGCCTCAACGCGGCGGCAGATGCAGAAGACCTCCCTAAACGTAGGATCATCCCATGATCGCGGGACTTTGCTCGCCTCCCTTTCTTCGCTGGGAGCTCGGGATGCAGGCTCGGCCGGCAATCGTGGCTTGTCACTAGTAATATCGAAGCAGTCGAGGTTCCGATCCAAGACGTAGTCCAAGTGAGACTTGAGGATATGAAGTGGCGCATTCGTCTTGCCAAATAGCTTCTTGCCCTTCCGCATCCAATCCTCATGCCGCTTCTGTTCTCTCTCGAGGTCAAGGGTACCAGTGGGTTTGGAATTGAGCTCCTCCAGCCTCTTCATCACCTCAACAACTTCCATGTACTTCGGTCGCTTCGTGAAGTCGGCGTCCCCCGATCGCTCCATGAGGTCAAGGATCTGTCGGTGTGCCTCCCTCTGTTTATGCAAGATTTGGTCCACGGCTTGTAGGGTAGCCGGTGAGACAGGCAGCGCACCATGTTGTACTTGGTTTGAAAGTGCCTCTAGTTGGGGGTAATGGACGGTCTCGGCGTTGATCAGCTCGGTCGCCTTTGCCTCCCACTGTCGGCCCGACTGTAGCTTTTCGTTGAAGAACCTCATGTGATCGTTGTAGGGCGGGATGTCCAGACGGACTCCTTCTTCGATGAGCACAGTCACGTCGTCCAGAGTCATGAAGACAGTTCTATTGGCTTTGGCCTTGGAGTTCCAGCGCATCTGCTCGAGCACTTCGTTGAGTTTATCGATCTCCGTCATGTCGACATTGAAACTGCGGCCCTCTTCGAGTAGTTCCTCTATCGAATCCTCGGACTGGACGGCCAGGCGTCCGAGTGCCGACTCTGCACTGTTCTGGAAGCTCTTGATAGCCTCGGCGCGTTCCTTCAGTTGAGTGATCTCGGGGCAATCGAAGCCGATGGCCTCAGCCTCATCGATCAGCCGATGGATGTTACTGACTTTTCGCATCTCACGCTCCTTCTGCTCCTGGTATGAGTTTCCAATGGACTTGCGCATGCCGCTTTGCCAGACCTTGTCGTTCCTGCGGCGGTTTTGCTGCTTGCGAACCGTATAATTAGTCGCGTCTTCGACCCATTCGTTGCAGCGATCAACAAATTCTTTGAGCGCTGGCAGAGAGGGGAGGTCGTACGGAATGCGTTCGCCCTCGCTCAGGAGGTTCCGAAGAGTTTTGAGGGTGGGCGTACCACCTTCATCCAACAACTTGTCATACTTATCCTCCCATGCCTCGGGCAAGTGGGCCTTCTCGAGTACCTTGCGGTACGTCTCGCTCATGTCTTCGGTCGTCTTGCGGTAGAACAGCACGTGCTCCTTGCCGGCGAAACGGTCGGACTCGGACATGTCGCAGCATGCATGGTGGCCGGCGTGCATGAGGCACAGGAATTTGCCTGAACGGTTGCACTTGAATCTCGAGAGGTAAGCATAGCATTTGCAGTACGAACATTGATACTCTTCCTCCGGGACATCCTCGTCGAAGACCTGGAAAGTCAGAGAGCAGGGCTCGTGTGAGTCGGCTGTGAGAACGCATGCGTGAGCATTGCCCTCGAGATGTTTGGCACTGTATTGCTGGCGCTGTTCGAGCTCCCTCTTGTGGATCCGCTCGAGGGCCGGCGCGAGCCACCTGGCGGTCTGGATCGTCAGAGTGCTCGAGGTTCCCTCGGCTGCTGTCCACAGCAATTCGTCGTGGGAAAAGCAGGGCTGCTTCCTGAACTCCTGGAGTCGCTGCACTCCGGCGAGGCCGTAGGACTCCCAGTCCGAAGGTGCAAAGTTGACCGCCTCATTGAAGTTGAATCCGTGGTTGAACCCAGCATGGTATGCTTGAGGGAACGTGATGACCAACTGGCCAGCTCTTTGGTCGAGAGCGTAAACCCGCACTCCTGCCTTCTTGAGATGTTCAGGGGTAAGTAGGGTAACAAGCTGGAACAGCAGATCGGGCTGTGTCTCAAATAACTCGGGAACTGCCGCTCGCATAGCATCTTCAAACTTCTGCGTATCCTCGGCAGGAATGCCGTACCATGTCTTGGTGGCTCCAAAGTGTTGGTAGTTGGCGGAATAGGCAAAGTGGTCTTCATTGTGCCAACAGAAGGTTGAGAAGATCATGCCAACGTAGACCCAAGGAACTGTCATACCCGAAATGTCGGACTTGATATGCCTGAAGAGTGACTCTGGATGCAACGGCATAATGTTGAGATTCCAGAAGTCAGTGGAGTAGGGGTTGCTCGGGTTCCTTTCGGCGGTGGGGAAGCCGGACCCGTGTGTGGTGCAGTGGATGTCAGCACCGTATTCTACTTCGACGGTTTCCTCGATACTGGTGACCAATCGCCAGAATTCACGCTCGACATCGTCCTCGGTGACGGGCCTGGGGCAGTTGAGCACGGGGTCGAAGGGCATTCGGTTCTCGAAGTAGCCTTGCTTGAAGTCGGCGGCCTTCTCCTGAAACTGCTTGAGAGAGTAGAGGCCGCCATCTTCGAATCCGAAGTGCCCGTCGCCGACAAGACAGCGCGGGCAGTTCCACTCATCGCCGGGCTTGTGTTTAAGGGGCGGGTCAACACAAGGGCCATGAAAACTGAGGTCGCACGACTCGCATACGGCCAGAAACCCCGCGTCTTCAGACTTGCCGCAGTTTTCGCACCGCTGTTATCATGGTTAAATCAATTAAAATAAAATAAAACATGCTGCGATCGAGTCGCCGAGCTTGGTCAGTGCAGTACTCACCTCGCCAGGACCAAGGGTCTCATCTCGGGGTATCCGGGGTCCAAGTGGCCGGTACAGGGACATGTGGGAGCCAGCGACCGTGGGGACGGTATCTGCAGATCAACATGCATTAGTCTCAGTGCATAACACCAATGAGCTGCCAGATGTGAACTCTGCCAAATCCATGCCGCAATTGATAGCGTAGCCGCACGGCAAATAGCATGACCTGGTGAATTGGGCAGCTGTCCAATTGCGGCCCGTCGTTCTCAAGTCGAATACCCGATGGACGGCTGCCGCATGCATGCTGGTATCTAATCCGCGACAGCCTGGCCAGACGCACTCAGGCGAGTTGCCAGCACATTTTCACGTCGGGTGGGTGCGGGGAGACGATAGGGCAGCACATGAGCCGTGGAAAAACTTACCTTTCTTGAGACGTTTACTCCGGCGGCTGCCACTGTCGAGATCGTCCTTGTCAGCGCCGGTCTCCTTTTTCGAGATATCCAGGCTGTCGCAGCTGAGCTGTCTCTTGAGAGGATTGGAAGTGGCCTGTCCCGAGGGGCGGAAGTCCGGAGTGTTCTTGGCGGACGAGTGTGCGCTTCCGTACTGTTTGGGTGGAGGTGTGAAGCTCTTGACGTCGGTCGGAACTGGCCGATTGATACTGGTGAAGCCAGAATTGACTGCAGTGAACCCGCCCGAGTTGATGGCCGTAAACCCGCCCGAGGTGGGTGGCGGCGGGAGCGGTGCATCACTCATGGGCACATCTCTATCGCTCTCCTGCTTGAGGCCAGTCAATGAGATGCTAGCTTGTAGGGCGTCGGTAGCATTCCGTGCTGGGGAGCCGTCCCGCAGGCTGGACGGCGTGTGCACAGTGGAACGCTTCAAGGGGCTCGGTGCCGGACTGGGGGTCAAGGGCCCGCCATATTCGTACTCCAGCTGCTGGTAGACGCCTGGTTTCGCCTGGCGAAGATAGTTCTCGTACGGAGTGAGCCATCGATCGTATGAGTTCTTCAACGACGTCGATAGAGACGACATGATCTTGCCGCTGTAGCCCAAGTCTCTGCCGATCTCTGCCCACTTCTTCATCTTGCACACCTTGTCGAACCCGCCGCGAGCCTCGACGCACTTCTTCAGGCGGTAGAGATCGAGTGGTTTCTTGTCGACATACGGTAGCCTGTTCAAATTCGTACCCTGCTGCTTGTGAAATTTGGCGAGGGCGTCGAGGTAGGTGAGATTCGCTCTGGTGCCTGCGATTACGCCATGTAAGTCAGTGCTACGGCATACAGAGCCAGGATTTGTGTCTCGACGTACTGCCTTCTACCGAGTTCAGCTCCTGCTTTCGGGTCCTAAAGTGGAATTTCTAAAAATGTGTCAGCGGGTGTGCTCGTCATGGTCGCCGTGCGCTGTCGGGTGCGATGGCTCACCTCGGTATCGATTGCGAAGTCGGGATTCCACGAGTCCGGCGGGATGATCTTGCAGAGACCGTACTTGGACGCCTCGGGGGTGATCTTGCGGATGTACTCGAAGGGGTCGCGCCATTCGTCTTCGGTCGGGCGGTATGATGGGGCCTCTTGAAGGCCAAATGGCCTGGTTCGCTTCGTGGTCTCCCTGCCGGCTGTGGGCTGGCCTCGTCGCTCGACAGATCGAAGGTCCAGCGGCGCGCTGCGCAAGGAGCTGAGAGGCAATTGAGGATTTGCGTGTCCAGGCTTGGACTTGGTGCCGTTGGCGTTTGGCGTAATGCCGGTCGAGGAGCTGACTGCTGGCGAGGCTCGAGAGCTGCCATGCGCGCTGGCCGAGAGGCCAGTGGTGGGTGCTTGCACCATGGTCACGGCGGAGGAGGAGAGCAGGGCGAAGGGGTGTTCTGTTCCTGAGGAGGACGGGCTTGGAGGGTGAGACGGCCGTCAGGCGTCATGCGGATGCGTAGACGAAGTGATCACAGCCCAGACTGGCGCATTGCATCGAGCTGGACGGTAGCGGGTGAGGGTTGGAACGGCCGCAGTACCTCAGTATCGAAAAGACGCTAAGCGGCCGTCGGCCTGCTGTAAACTGTAGACTGGGTCGGGTGAAGTGGCCGACCGAAAGCGTGCCTGTGGTGTGTGTATGCCGGATGTTGTCCAGGCCGGTCACGCAGCCGCTGTGGTAGGGTTTGGGCGGGTTGCCGTGAGGGACTTGGTGTGGGAAGCAGGCAAGGTTGCGGGTGAGGGCGAGGTTGCGAGCGAGGATGAAGGGAGTGAGTGAGTGAGCGAGCGAGCGAGTGAGTTGAGCGGTGCAGCACGGGCTGGACTTGGGACACCCGAGTTTACTACCTAGGTACCCTAGGTAGTCATGGTACCTTGGCATGTAGCTTATGGATGGGCTTGTGCCATAGTACCTAGGTATGCCATGGCACACCCGTCCACGTCTAGATCGCTGCAGTGGCCTATGGGGAACGGGACGGGGCTCTGAAGACAAGC